CCAGATTCAAATGTTGCTGGCATTGTTGGCGTAGGTAATGAACCAGATGCGAATGTTGTTGGCGTAGGTAATGAACCAGATGCGAATGTTGCTGCTGAGTTTGACGTATTTTGTGAACCAGATGCGAATGTTGCTGGCATCGTTGGTGTAGATTCTGAACCAGATTCAAATGTTGCTGGCATTGTTGGTGTAGTTAATGAACCAGATGCGAATGTTGCTGCTGAGTTTGACGTATTTTGTGAACCAGATGCGGATGTTGCTGGCATTGTTGGTGTAGATTCTGAACCAGATTCAAATGTTGCTGGCATAGTTAATGAACCAGATGCGAATGTTGCTGCTGAGTTTGACGTAGTTTGTGAACCAGAGGCGGATGTTGCTGGTAATGTTCAAAACTGAATCGCCTGTATTTCTTCGTAAGTCGGAAACAAGAATTCGACTGTTATTAACTTGTATAGGCTCTATGTATTGAGCCCGCTAACCGCAATCAGTCTCGATCAAATCCGCGAAAAAGGGTTTTCCATCCTTTTATCTATATACAATACAGTAATTCTATGTACCGACGTAGTACCCTAACGTGTTACCTGTTCAGTGGAAGGATTTAGAAGCAACTGTGGCTTGAGGATGGTTATGGGTATCGGGCTCCTATCCGTTTATATATTTTTTATTAAATACTGCGACTCTACAAAGTTTCATGATCATGTAAGTAATGTACGCTTTTGTGCGTATGTTCGTCGAAGCAGTACTTGCGCATGAGCATACGCCCAAGCACGCGCTGCTTGTCTTTCAACGTGTACCGTAGTGCACATATTCTATCTGGAGTGAATAAAAACATATTTGTTTTTACTCACTCCTGACTTTGTAATACAAGCAAATTTGAAGAACCTCATTTGCTATGATTATGGGTATTAATGTTATATTAAAAATTTTGTTTTATCGATTATTATTCATAGTTTATGATGAATTATATATATATTGTATGGATTAATTTCCGACTTAAATAACTAACTTTTTATTTAAATGGCAATCTTGCTATAATTTGTTGAATGAAACAAGATGTTTAGGCCTACTATTACTACGTATTTGAGGACATATGATGTTATAGAGGCTATATGATTATATTATTATATTATTATATTATGATTATATAGGCTTATATGATGTAGGCTTATGATGTCGTAGGCTCATGATGCCGTAGGCCGTTATGATGATGTAGGCTCATGATATAGGCTTATATGATTATATTATTAGAGGCTATAGATGTATATGATGTTGATGATGAGATATAACATCTGAATTGAACACTGATGCAGTCAATTATTGTGGTTTATGATGATCGCGAGCTACTAAGTCCAAAACGTGTTCTAAACTTAGAGTTCGTGCGATGTTTTTGCATATCGTGATTATCTATACCAGACATTGGCACGCGCGCGCGCACACGTACCAAGATTGAACACAGCTCGTTCGTACGTGCGTGGGTGTGCGGATGTCTATGTGTATGTGAATACATGTCGATTTTAATACGTTCAGAATAGATTTTAGCGGCGTATATGGTTAAATTACTCACACTATGTTGGGGTTCATAAGGTCATGAAACGGTGCGAGTATGTAAATGATTTTCTTAACCTAATCATTTGTCTTACTTGGCTAGTTCGTTCGCATGCCTTCAAACGGTAATAAGAGCAATGTGTTTCATTATTACAGAGAAGCCATGTGATGTGCGTAGACACGGTGTCAACGTCGTGGCGAGTGCCGTCTTCATGTGCAGATTTATTTTGAGTTCGTGAAGTTCCTCTCATGGCTTCTATAATTTGATACTAACGCAGAAAGTACTAGTACAGCCGTGCTGATATTATCTTTCGTTGATGGCGTAATAATCTTGAAAGTATTATTTTTAACCATCATATATATTTGTTCAATTTTTTATACAAAGTTAATGCAACTGTATTCGGTGAATGTGTACTTACACTAATAAAATTCAAGGCAAGCAGTGTGTCTAGCCATACATTGCAACTCTTCGTCTATAGCTTTCGTAGGTGGAGTATCACTTGATTGAAGCCATCATTTTGCGAAACATGCTAAGTCACGATAGTTTAGAGACGCGACAAGGTTGCTTCATGTGACGGCACTCACGACTGAATACACTCACGTACAGTACGTGTGATCGCACTGATAATGTATTCATGCATATCTGCTTATTTTCATTGTTTTCCAGCTTTTTCTAAGCGGATGTATTTCTCTAAGCTGTAGGAATTAAATTCAGCGACAAAAATTAGGGGTTCATGAAGTATAGGCACAGAATGAAACAAGCACGCTCAGCCCTAGTGTTTTATACCGCGTACAGACTCGCATGCGACTCTCACACAGAAATAGACTTTTCTGTTTCAAATCTTTGGCGTGTCTTCTTATCTTTCGCCTTATCTCTGCTTGAACTCTGCTGGACCTTATCACTGCGGTATTTCTCCGTGTGTGTTATTATATGTACGTTGCATGCCCACGTTACCATCTCTCTCTCTCTCTCTCTCTCTCTCTCTCTCTCTCGCTTTCCCCACTACTTATTAGAAAATAATGTGTCGGTGCTGCCACCTACTCGTCCACGTTTGCAACACTGAGCTGTATAATGACATTATAGTTGTTATACATAACGTATTTACAATTTAGTTATTATATATCTACTATATTAAGAAAGAGAGAAAGAGGGGAGAGAGATTGTGAGAGAGTGAAAGAGAGAAAGAGGAGGAGAGAGAAGAGGGGCGATGCCTGCTGTAGGCATTTAAATCCCTGTGCGATAAAAAAAATCTTTTTTTGCTGAACATCTAAACCAAGATGGTGACAATAAACATGCATTAATATTGTTGCATTTGGGTATTTTTGTCATATGATGGAAACTCTTTTAGGATTTCAGTTAAGGTTTAGGCAACAGTTGTCTGTTAACGTGGATCGATCTATGGTATTTAATAGCATAGGAAAAATGTTATAGATAAATCATCTTTACATTTGCAGGATGCTTCACTGGATTTATCTCGAACTGATAACGTCGAGGATTCAACAAATGAACTGGACTCTCCCCAGGGAAAAGGTGTCAAGGTCACCAATATCTGGTAATGCTTTTTAAAAGGTTGCCTTTGCACCAAGGTCAAATGGCTTCTCCTCACCAGCATCTCGTGACTTCCTTCGTAAAGTAAACTCATTACCAAAATCATATCACTACTAACTGGTCACAGCTTGAACAGGCTCATGTTATTGCTGTACAACTGACAGGTTAGGCATCGCGTTTCTATGTAATGAGTGTGTCTGGCTGCGTTGTCCTTTCAGGACGTAATGTACATGTGGGTCGGCCTTCCGATAATCTGTCTCGCGAGTCATGACTGATTATATATTCGTACACAGTTTACTGAAACGTCAACAGCAACAGCGAGTGTTACACTGCAAAAACGCCATATCGTTCTAACTAACAATATATACTTGCATTATATAATACTGTATATAAGTTACGTAATTATAGAAAACACTCTAGGATCCCATTGAGATATTCCATGAACTAAGATCTGTAGTTGCTACTCCTCTAAACGCAGAGAAACAAACTCTTAAAATAGAAAGAGTTTTGTGTAAAACTTTTTCGAACCCCCTGTAAACTATTGCAAAGAATTCTATTGAATGTAACATGGGAGCAAGAGCCATTTCTTATCAGTGAAATCATATACGGATCCATTATACAGACAGTAAAAATGAAAGTATGTGGTGCTGATGCAAGTATACTAACACGGCTATTACTGCATCCCTATTCTTTGGATTAATTGTCCTGTCAGAAATCCATTGTCATTGTGATGCCATTGCGCAAAGTGCGAGAGTTATAACGTTGTATATTTTCAATCCGAATGCAAAATAATTAACGTAAACTAAAGCCTATTATCAGATATATCTGCTGAGCTTTTCTCCACATTGCACTATCTGCATCTGCATCTACTGTCTGCGTTATTCGGGGTAAGCGTGTGGCATTGCACTTGATGTATGTGAAACTTTTCCTGTGTGCAACTGCGTCCTCACAGCTCAAGTAAGCCTTGCACGCACCGCTCTATTAACTTTTGCTGTTGCAATTTTCAGTCACGCTGTGTCACCCTCTAGTGCTGCACAAGTAAGTTACCCACAATGCTAACTATATAATCCAGGTTGTGTGCGTCGCTTTGTCCCGCGCACACCTAGCATGATCGGTGGTTGATTGACATGTCAAAAATATTCAGTATTAAAATAGCATATAATATGCTATATATGTGTGATACCATAACAAATTGTATTTGTACTTGACAAACTAGTTTTATAGCTATCTGTTTCATGATTTAGGTTTGATTTGTTTTTGTTTTTTAAATTGACGGTTGCTTTTTAGTGGTTATTAAGTTTTCTAACCGGATGTCGTGGGAAGTTTTTTTTTACTTTTTAACCCCGATGTGAAAGACTGTACGTGATTATTCTTTAGTATTGCATATGTCATGAAATAATGATGTCATAATTTGTATATATCAGTACATGTATCATGTACATAATTACGTCATTCGTGTGCATGTGTAACGCGATGGTGATGGCTTATCCGGTATCTAGTCATTAAAATATCTAAACATATATAATATATGTGTATATCATCTTAAAGCTAAGCCTTATCACAGGGTCGATCACTGCCATCTCTGTAATTTACAAGGGTACTCTAGAATCCGTTGTCAGCTGCCAATAGTACTACTTGTCAAGGAGTCACTACCATTGACATATAAAGGCTCTCTGATAAAGTGGCGTGCCAACCAACTAACGTCATTGTCGATTCTAGCCGTGTAAAATCCAAAATATGGGTTCACTCGAGGCTTCCGCAATGCACTCGTTTGTCGTCGGAGAGTTGACAAGGCTGTAAGAGCTGGTTGAATTTGTTACGAGAGACGTGCGGGCGAGCAGCTCTAGTTGGACAGAGGATTATATAAGTCGTTATATAGCTTCTAATGCAATTTTCGAACTTATATCGCTGGTTTAGAGAAATACTTGTATACCTGCTCAGAGAAAACCCTTCGCGATATTTTCTAATGGTTTATGACGAATTTGTCATTTGGCTTTTGTAGGTCAGAATATTTGTTTACTTCAAAGCAATCAGTAGCTGAATAGATGTAATATAATGAGATCATTTGATGGTATATTCCGTGTGATGGGTGCATCCGGGGCAAATTTTCGGTGATGGTGATTTGCAATATTTATTACTTATAAGGCTGGTCCACAAAAACCTGACTGTTTGCCGTAACCAGAATGACCCAGTAATTTGTTAGCAACTGAAATTTTTTTCCATTTAATTACACGATTTTTCCACTTCGAACTTTCCAAAAATCTTGACGTACTTTTAATAATGATGCGTTTTGCGTTTTTTCTTCTCAAATGAAAAAAACCTTCGAGGAAAATGCTTACCTGCTGACTTTCTCAAACCTTACGACAGGGATCACGGTAGCCAGACAGTTTCTTCTGGACTAGTCCAATCAAAGCCGATCAACATCTAACGATTTTTGTCGCCATTAAGTCATCGGTTAATCGCCCGGTGCGCGGTATTCTGCGACTTAAAATATTAGCATAAAACTATTGCTAACACCCATAGAATGTATGTCACCTACCGCAAACATGTGTGGCGACAAAAATTGGTAGGTGTGTGTCGGCTTTATGTGACTATGAATGTGGGTATGGCGGTATGCATCTGCATGAGAAAGGCTTGGTGGTGGGTGTTATTAAATGCGTACGTTTTAATGTCTTCATTGCATTTTAAATATTTGATTACCAGTAGTCATCAATAATTTATAACAATGTGCATATCGTAAAACCAGAACATTTACCAAATACCAACAAATTTATTAAAATTCCCCGGACGGATGAATATATTTCCCACTGTAAATACATTAATTTTACGTTTAGTGATGTATATATAACAAATATCTTACGATTGTAAATGGGGGAAAAATGATAAGTGATTTCCGTTAATCACGTATACTAATTTGGTGGTTTGTAAGTAATAATTCTACTACTCGAAACATTTCCAAAACGACGAAGAGCGTCTAGGCTGGGTTGCCTGCATATACACAGCTATGTGTGTGTGTGTGTGTGTGTGTCTTTGTAATTCACGATTGTAGTAATGCAAGTAAATTTCGTAATCGCGAGGTGCGTGTTTTCAAGTATGTGATTTCATGACTAATTACGATAATAAAGTAATATTCCCATTATTAATTCATAAATACAGCTGTTAGCTACTACTGCGCAAGCTTCATTCGATTCTAACTCTCTATGTCTATCTATCTATCTATCTATCTATCTATCTATCTATCTGTCTATCTGTCTGCCTATACCTATCTGTCTGTCTGTCTATACATCTATCAATCTATCTATACGATATCGATCGATCACGCACACACGTGAGCACCCACACCACACTTTTTCTTGATCTTTCTTGTTCTCGCTTCTCTCTCTCTCTCTCTCTCTCTCTCTCTCTCTCTCTCTCTCTCTCTTTATATTATATATATATATATACCACTTTTTATATCTATATATATATATATATCAGAAAGGTAGGGGATAATAGGGGGTTCTCTATGCATTTAAACGTGCATAATAATACTGTGAATAATATGAGGGACTCTTTATTTCCTATTAACGCTACTGTACTATTTTTTATAACAAATTGTGAATTTCATGTTTTATTTGACTGAAATGTTCTGAACGTTCTTCGTAGGGTTTACCTAGCAATCGTAACCTTCAATATTAACATATTTGGTAACTTTATTAACTTACTTGAGATAAGGTAGGTATTTTCGTAGCCATACCTTTACAATCATGTACTGCAATCCTGCGTGATTTTAATCTTTGTCATAGGAAACGAATAAAGATGCACTTTCCGTCGATATTCCACCGGAAGAGGCGACAGCAGCACACGACATCCTAATGAAGTTTAGGTTGGATCCGCTCACTATTGTATGTGTAAACGGGAGCAAACATAATCCAATGACCGCCGTATCCAGTGCAAAGCCGCAGGACGCCTGCAGCAAGCAAGACGCAGCCGTCGTCTTCTGTTAAAGCCCGGCGCACACGTTGGCGATTTTGTCGACAGGAACCGGCGATTCTGTGCACCAAACAAAATCCGCGGAGAAATCGCACGTTGCCGCTGCCGGGCCGTCACCGATTTGGACGCCAAGCTCGTCGCTGGAATATACAACATGTTTGATAGTTGTGCCCAGTCGCCTGAACAATCCGCTACGTCGTGCGCCGCCACTTGGCGATGGATCCGACAACAAGCTTTTTGGTCTAACCAATCAAATGCATGATGTTAAGACGTGATCAAATATTAGGCCAGCGCCGTGGAGTGTGGGTTTGAACAGTGTCACGTACATTCATACAATTTATTGTCGCTGACAGACGTTTGATATTGTCGACCGGGTGGCGCACACCGTGCCGCGGGATTTTTATCGACAGTACGGCGATAAAAATCGACGGGTACTGTCGATAAAATCGCACGTGCTGCGCCGGGGCTTAGTCGCAGTAGTTGAGTTACAGATGATGAGGTGCTATGTACGGTAGTCCTGCTACCGGGGTTGGCATAGTTAAACAAACTGAAGCCAAAACTGTTGCCGCTGTTGACGCAGTTTGTGAACCAGAGGCGAATGTTGCCGCCGATGTTAACGTGGTTTGTGAACCAGATGCGATTGTTGCTGACATTGTGCGTGTAGTTACTGAACCAGATTCAAATGTTGCTGGCATTGTTGGTGTAGGTAATGAACCAGATGCGAATGTTGCCTGCTGGTTTGACGTATTTTGTGAACCAGAGGCGGATGTTGCTGGCATCGTTGGTGTAGATTCTGAACCAGATTCAAATGTTGCTGGCATTGTTGGCGTAGGTAATGAACCAGATGCGAATGTTGCTGCTGAGTTTGACGTATTTTGTGAACCAGAGGCGGATGTTGCTGGCATCGTTGGTGTATTCTGACCAGATTCAATGTCTGCTGACATTGTTGGTGTAGTTAATGCAACAGATGCGAATGTGCTGCGAGTTTGACGTATTTTGTGAACAGATGCGAATGTTGCTGGCCATCGTTGTGTAGTTCTGAACCAGATTCAATGTTGCTGGCATTGTTGGCGTATGTATGAACCAGATGCGAATGTTGCTGCTGAGTTGACGTATTTTTGTGACCAGCTTGCGAGTTGCTTGTGCATCGTGTGGTGTAGATTCTGAACCAGATTCAAATGTTGGCTAGCATTGTTGGCGTAGGTAATGAACCAGATGCGATCGTTGTGCGCATTGTTGGTGTAGATTCTGAAGGCAGTTCAAATGTTGCTGGCATTGTTGGCCGACCGGTATGGAACGCATGCGGAATGTTGCTGCCTGAGTTTTGCACGTATTTTCGTGAACAGATGACGGATGTTGCTGGATTGTTGGTGTGATTCCTTGAACCAAGATTCAAATGTTGCTGGCATTGTTGGGTGTAGTTTATGAACCAGAGGCGGATGTGCTGGCATCGTTGCGTGTAGATTCTGAACCGCATTAAATGTTGCCTGACATTGTTGGTGTAGTTAATGAACCAGATGCCGGAACTGTTGCTGCTGAGTTTGACGTTTTTGCTGAACCAGAGGCGGATGTTGCTGGCATTGTTCGGGTGTAGATTTCCCAGCCAAGTTGTGACGACTTGTTGCGTTAGTCTATGACCAGCATGCAAGTGTTGCCTCCTGAGTTTTGACGTATTTTGTGAACAGATCGGATGTTGCTGACATTGTGTGTGATTCGAACCAGATTCAAATGTTTGCTGCATGTTTGGCCTGTGTTATGAAACAGATGCGAATGTTGCTTGCTGAGTTTGACGTACTTTTGTGAACCAGATGCGGATGTATGCTGGCCATCGTTGGTGTAGATTCTGAACCCGATTCAAAATCGTGCTGACAGTCTGTTGGCTGTAGTTAATGCAACAGATCGAATGTTGCTGCCGAGTTTGACGTATTTTGTTAACCGAGGCGGATGTTGCTGCCATCGTTGTGTAGATTTCCGACCAGATGCCAAATGTTGCTGCGCGTTGTTGAGTGCAATTGTGTGAACCAGATTCAATGTTGCCTCGATTGTTGGCTGTAGGTACAGTGAACCAGACTGCGAAGGTTGGCTTGCTGAGTTTGACGTATTTTGTGAACAGATGCAGATGTTGCTGCATTGTTGGTGTAGATTCTGAACCAGATTCAAAATGTTAGCTGAGCCTAGTTAATGAACAGATGGCGAATGATGCTGCTGAGTTTTGACGTAGTTGCTGAACCAGAGGCGCGATGTTGCATGCGTAATGTTCAGAACTGAATCGCCTGTATTTCTTCTAAAGTCGGAAACAAAGAATTCGACTGTTATTAACTCTGTATAGGCTCTATGTATTGAGCCCGCTTAACCGCAATCAGTCTCGATCAAAATCGCGAAAAGGGTTTTTCATCCTTTTATCTATATACAATACAGTAATTCTATGTACCACGTTAGTACCCTACGTGTTACCTGCTTTCAGTGGAAGGATTTAGACAGCCAACTGTGGCTTGAGGATGGTTATGGGATATGCCGGCTCCTATCCGTTTATATTATGTTTATTAATACTGCGACTCTACAAAGTTTTCATGATCTGTAAGTAATGTACCGCTTTTGTGCGTATGTTCGTCGAAGCAGTACGTGCGCTGAGCATACGCCCAAGCACGCGCTGCTTGTCTTTCAACGTGTACCGTAGTGCACATATTCTAGTGCTGGAGTGAATAAAACATATTTGTTTTCTACTCACTCCTGTTCCTTTGTAATACAGCAATTTGAAAGAACCTCATTTGCTATGCTTATGGGTATTATGCTTATATCTAAAATTTTTGTTTTATCGACTTATTATTCATAGTTTATGATGATTATATATATTTGCTATTTGGGGTTAATTTCCGACTTAATAACTACTTTTATTTTAAATGGCCAAATCTTGCTATAATTTGTGAATGAACCAGATGTTTACTATTACCTACGTATTTGATGGACATATGATGTTATGAGGCCTATATGATTATTTATTATATTATTATATTATGATTATATAGGCTTATATGATGTAGGCCTTTATGATGTCGTAGGCCTCATGCATGTCGTAGGTCATGATGCCGTAGGCCGTATGATGATGTAGGCCTCATGATATAGCTTATATGATTATATTATTAGAGGCTATGATGTTATGATGTGATGATGAGATATAACATCTGATCGAACACTGATGCAGATCAATTATTCGTGGTTTTGATGATCGCGAGCTACCTAAGTCCAAACGTGTTCTTAACTTAGAGTTTCGGCGATGTTGTTGATATCGTGTTATCTATATCAGCATTGGCACGCGCGCGCGCCACGTACCATATTGAACACAGCTCGTCGTACGTGCGTGCGGTGTGCGGATGTCTATGTGATATGTGAATACATGTCGCATTTTAATACGTTCAGAATAGATTGTAGCGGCGTATATGGTTAAATTACGCACACTATGGTGGCGTCATAAGGTCCACTTGAAAACGGCTGCGAGTATGTAAATGATTTCTTAATCATATTTGTCTACTGGCTAGTTTCGTTCTCATGCCTTCAACGGTCATAAGCAGCGCAGTGTGTCATTATTACAGAGAAGCATGTGATGTGCGTAGAGACGGTGTCACAGTTCGTGGCGACTGCGTCTTCATGTGCAGATTTATTTGAGTTTCGTGAAGTTCTTCATGGCTTCTATAATTTGATACTAACGCAGAAAGTACTAGTACAGCCGTGCTGATATTATCTTTCGTGATTCGGCATATAAGGCTTGACAAGTTTTAATTTTTAACCATCATAATATTTTCAATTTTTTATACAAAGGTTAATGAACTGTATTCGGTGAAATGGTTGTACTCACTAATAAACTTCAATGGCAAGCAGGGTGCTCTAGCCATACATCTGCCCAACTCGTTTCGTCTATAGCTTTCGTAGGTGGAGTACTCACTTGCATTGACCATCATTTGCGAACATGATAGTCACGATAGTTTAGAGGACGCGACAAGGGTTGCTTCATGTGAACGGCCCACTCACGATGAACTACACTCACGCTACAGTACGTGTGATCGCACTGATATGTATCATGCATATCTGCTTCATTTTTGTTTTCACTTTTCTAGGGATATATTTCTCTAAGCTGTGGAATTACATTTCAGCGACAAAATTTGGTTCATGAAGTGTAGGCACGAAATGAACAGCACGCCTCAGCCCAAGTGTTTTATACCGCGTACAGAACTCGCATGCCGACTCTCAACAGAAATAGACTGTTTTCTGCTTTCAAACCTTGGCGTGTCTTCTTTATCTTTCGCCTTACTCTCTGCCCTTTGACTCTGCTGGACCTTTCTCACTGTGGTATTTCTCCGTTGCTGGTCTTATATGTTACGTCTCCATCTCTCTCTCTCTCTTCTCTCTCTCTCTCTCCTCTCTCTGCTCTCTCTCTCTCTCGCTCTCCCATACTTTATATGAAAATTAAGGTGTCGTTGCTGCATCTACTCGTCTCGTTTGCACACTGCAGCTGTTATAATGACATTATAGTTGTTATACATAGTATTTACAATTTAGTTATTATATATCTACTATATTAATTATATATATATATATATTGATATATATATATATGTACAGTTCAGTGGTTGGCAAGTTTGGCAGTGGCCACGTTTTGGAGTTCCTCCTCTGCATACGATATTTTCCTAGCTGCCCGTTTCCTCTTTTACGCACATCTACTCCCTCGTTTGTCGTTTCAATAATTCCAATTTATGTGCATTAATTTGATTATATGTGAATTTAATTACAAAATGTTAACCTATAAAAACAGCTACAGGAACAATAAAGTAATAAATCGGTTGCTTTACAATACTCATTTCATTATACCCACGCACGCACCGGAATACGATAGGAGCGTCAATCTCGCAAGAATTCGCCGTCCTTCAATATGTCCTTGTTATAGTCCAATCCCTCCCATATTTAAATAATCTTTTCGTCAATAGGCCTACGTCTGTATCTACCGATACTCGGAGACCGTTTCATTATCAACGTTGCATCACAATCGTACAGACCTTGCAATTTTTAATGACCAACCCTAAAGTGTACAAGATAAAATATTTCGTACATTTGGTGGGAAAATATTAATCGATATTTATTTGTATGTCTGAAAGCGTTAAGCAGCTGACGTACCCACTCTTTCTCTCGATCGTACGGTTGGTACCGAACATTGTGTAAGATGCGCTAATTTAAACAAACAGTTTTTCACAATATAAATAAATCCATTTAAATATCTTCAGTATGCCATACGCATTCATTTGAGACCCTAGTTCAACTCAGACAACTTACTTGCATCATATCAGGAGTGCGTCAATACAAATATTGCAAAGAACAATACGTAATGGTGTTTATATTTATAATCCACTAGAAATAGTGGCATGTATTTATGTACAATTTATAGAATTATGACTTTATAATACACATTCACAGACAGGCAAAAATAACCATCCAGGAGCAAATTGAACAGTGTATGATTTACATTATTTATACATAATTTAGAGAAATATAAGAAAATAAATACCAATTGGTTTTTTTACTATTCATGTACTATTCAGTTCTTTTTTCGTATCGAGACATCGATACATCAAAAGAACACAGTAGGGGCCTACTCCTAAAACAATAGAAATGCTAAATTGGTTTCGGTGTGACTAAAGTCTATTTTTGAGGCTAACCTACCAGCGACTTTTAAAATCGATGCAGTGTTCCTGATAGTTTTATTGAAATCATTACGACACTATAAAAAATTCAAGCTTGATATGTGCAGAATGTACAATCCACTCTGCCAGATTTGTACAAAGCAGAAATGTGGCTCCCGCTTAACATATATTTTCAACAAATATGATGCCTACATGTCAGATGGTCACATGGTAAAAAACATTGGTCAGTCAATTTAACTTCACAGCAGCATAAGAAAGCAACAGCACACAGACTCACGTATATACGAAAGAGAATGCATAACAACCATAAATCGCCTCCCAGCGCGAAACAGAGTGAATTCAACCATTCTGACTTCATATAGTGCTAAAACCTGAGGTTAAAAAAATGTTTTCGCCAAGAGTATACTTTGACCAGATTTAACATAGACGATGTATGTATGTGAATATCACATATATCTTCTAATTAATTCAGTCGACATGTACCTATGGGATCCGGACAACCTTGTTAATATATAATTTTTACTGTGGTTTTGTGTAATTTTTAGTAGGATAGTGGTCTTTAGCTGTTTAATAAATAAATTTTTATTTGCTATAGTATACAGTTTCACCTACAAAATTTACTACTGGCTACGGTACCAAAGGTTTTTCCACATTATGACAAAAAACATTCCACAACTGTAGAATACAGTCAGTCAACAGTTTGGGAAATTCCCGATAACTTCCAACAAGAAGTTAGCAAATAAACAGTAGAGGTTGCAGGCTATCCAGTTCACCTAGTAAAATGTTTATGAAGTAGGAAATTATGGAAAAGTTTGGGATAAATCAAAAAGGCCATGTGCACGCTACAGCAATAGTGGTAATGAATTGAGCAAATCTAAATTAGGTTTCATTTAATGTTTTATATCCCCTTTTTTCGATATATATTATAAAGAAATTAAAACGAGATTGTAAAAACTACCAATAGCCAATAGGTATTCATCGATATTAAAAGCCTATGTAACTGACTGTGCTGAGTGTCTCAATGAGGGATGCCATAGATTGCGTGACTGGGGCTTATTTTCAAACTTTTCACATCATACAGGGTGCGAAATTAACGGGAGTCCGGAGTCAAATACTCCCTGATTTACTGTCAGACTCCCTGATTTGACATATGCAGGAGTCCGTGCGACTCCCTGAAAATTCTGCCATACTAACTAGTTCGTTCCAGAGCACGGCCTCACGGAATTACCGTATTTTATCAGCTAATGTCCAAAGAAAATTGGGCAGACGTGCAACCGCATGAATCTTCAAAATAAGCACATGCGTTATTGTTATTATATCTTTAATTTTGAACCTCAAACTGCGGACTCCCTCATTTTGTTGCGGACTCCCTCTTTTTGAGGGTAGGTAGTCCATTGGACTCCCGTGTTCAAAAGTTAATTTCTTCCCCTGTCATACATTAAATTTAAAAATTCTTAATCTTTAAAATACCAACGGATTGTAATCTTTCAACTTTTAGCAGTAGTTTCAGTTAAATCATTCATGCATTTTTGCAGATAACAGGTTATTTATCTTTTTTACTGCAAACTTCTGTTAAAAAGCATGTGACAATAAACTTTAAAAGTCAAACTTACCATACCACCACAAGTAACAGCACAAGCAATGGTGTGATCCAAAACAAACTAATTAGTTAAAAGACAGGTTTTTGATTGTTTTAACCATTCATATTGACAGGGAACATTAAAAATTAGTATTACACAATTAATTAACTGAAAATAAGGCTGAAAGCAGGAATAGTGTAACTTGTAAAGACTACAAAGTCTACTCCAATCTCCAGGATTAATTCAGGAAAAACAGGATTACTGGATAGCCTTCAAAGGTTATTGCCTAGCATGGTTTAATACTTCCAGACATGAACATTTTTGTAAAAAAATGGTTTTCTAATAATTGCAAAGATTATGTTGCATGTGAAAAAAACATGCTCAGAGAACTGAGCAGAAGATCCGGAAGTAACCTGGTAGCTGTGCAGTGTAAAAGTAGCAAGTGAAACTGGGCAAAACAAATAGTTGGTTTTGTCACAAAGGCTTGAATGTGGGCTTAGCTGTACACAGCACTGCATGAGGCAAACATTACAGAGTTTTCAACCAAAAACAAAGGATGCATATGTCCCATGTCCATGTGGTTCTACCACTGTTTACAAATTTTTGTACAATTGTACACGAATTTTTGTACAATTGTACACGAATTTTTTCCCCATGATTTGTCTGAAACTCTAGGACAATTTAGCACTCAATCGTCAATCAATTGAAACCATAACTGAGGCTTACTTTGCTGTTCACAGAGACTGCAGTGAGCACAAAAATGCACAATGATGATAATGATTATTCAGATCTAGTTCTTGCAAAACTAACGATCTATGTCGACTTCATTTGTGGTGGCTTCGTTCTCTGCACAGCTTATTGCCAAGGTCATTGTGAAATCATACATACCTCATCGAAACACCTAGAAGGGACGATGTTTCCGATACAGACAGAACGCACAGTCTCGTCCACCGTACTACGTCAAGAGAGTATGCTGCCTATGGCTTCATTCAGTTCCGCGTCACCCTGATCGCACAGCTTCTCCCCGCCCTCGGCCGCGCCATCGTCGAACGTACACGCCAGCGCGGAATAGTTCGGGTCCATCATGCATTTGCCGTCATCGTCGCCGTTCTCGCCCGCGTCGTAGTCGGACGGGTTGGCCGCGCCACGAGCGTAGACGTCCGCCGCCGCGTCGTAGTCGGACGGGTTGGCCGCGCCGCGAGCGTAGACGTCCGCCGCCGCGTCGTCGTCGTCGTCGTACTCCTCGCAGTAGTCGACCGGCCTGTAGACCTTCGCAGCGCGCGCGTAGTCGTCGTCGCCGACGACGACGTCGTAGCCGGTCTCGTCCTCCGCCATGCTGCCGTCGATGCCGAGGATGCTGCTCACCGCGTCCATTGTCTGCTTCCGCATCTCCACCTCCTCGCACGTCTCCTCCTCCTCTTCCTCTTCCGCATCCTCGCCGGCAGAGGCGGAGGCGGCGGCGAAGCGGGTCTGACCGTCGTCGTCGTCGTCGTCGTCTGCGCCGCTCTCTCCGTCGCCGCAGCCGTTCACGACGACGACGCGATTCGCGTCGGGGTCGTAGGTCGTTGCCGCGGCGACGGCTTCTTTGGCACCGGTGTACTCCTGCTTGGCGTCGACGTACTCGGCGTAGTCGTACGAGCTGTCGGCGTAATCGCCCGCGTAGTCGACGATGTCCAGCGACGGATGAGTCATGAGCAGCGTCTGCACTGCCGCCTGCGACTCGTCCATGCTCTCTTCGGCTTCGTTGTCGCCACCGGCGCCCGCCTCCTGCGTGTGGTACGCGTCCTCGGGCAAGCCGTTCAGCGCAAAGTATTCGTTTTCGCCCTCGACCAGGGCATTCTCCAAGATGTCGCGACGACGGGAGACCGCGTTCGGACTTGGCACATTATCACAGTATTCCTGTGGATCAGGAGTAAAGGCCCGCTCTGCTCCTTCCATAACACGAGGCTGATCCGTGGACGGCTTTCTGTCTGAACACCTGTCTTCCGCTAGCGCTTTCGCACATGCTTCACTTTTGCTGTTCACTTTGTTTAGACTTCTCTGCATTCTGCAGTCAGCAGCAGTGAGCACATACGTAGGCGCCTCATTATTCCCACCCAAACATCCAGGTTCAGCCAGTTCAGTTACACTCTCTTTGGTAGGTGAGTCAGCGACTCCGTTCTCTTCAGAGACGAGCAACGCGCCGTCAGCTGAAACTTCACTTTGAAAACAGTATGGATCACTATCCATGAAGCTATCTTCGTCACTAAGTGTTTGCTGTATTATGCTTTCTAGGGACAATGGTAGATTCAGCGATTCACTGTTCGGCTGAGACAAGTTCGATGACATCAAAACATCGCTGTTAGATGTAGGAAGAATAGTTGGCGAGTCAACTAGGGATTGTTTTGGTATGGACTCTATCTCAGTCTGACCAGTATAAGTCAATGAACTTGAGCAGGGTGACACAGAATAACCAGCTGTAGTGAAAGTGTTGAGTGGACTGACCAACGAACTATCAAAATCAGCCGTCGACGTAGCACTAGAAGGTGGAGTTGTCGAAACACTGCGATATACATCATCAATCACAGGTGTGTCGTGTTTAACAGCAGTTCGTTCCTCATCATTATCACTTGAATTTTCAACTTCCAGCTTATTAAATGCTTTAGAGCTATCCAAATCTTCAGCGGACGAACTGCCGTATTTATCAGAATCACTGTTCATTTCAGTCGCATCAGTAGTTGCTGCGGCAACTCGCTGCTTCTTGATGATCTCATCTAGTTTCAGCACCAACTCTTCGGGAACGGAATACTGGCCTGCATCTGCCGACGTCCTATCGGCCTTCAGCTCGTCTCGTTCTTGTCTGACGAGCAGCCGATTCAACATGACGCGCTCCCACGACGGCGACTCACGCTGGCTCTCCTGCAGCAGCATCAGCTGGAACTGCCTCAGCATCTGCTCCTTCTTCGCGAGCAGGCCGCTCGAGACGGCCTCGAACGTCTCGTCCATCTCGCCGGGGTCCTCCGACGCGGGCAACTTCGACGTGAACACGTGAAAGCGCAGCAGCTGCTTGCACGCGTCCTTCACCGAGCGGAACGGCACCTGCGCCGTCTGCCGCGCGGCGCGTGTGCACAGATTCTGATCCTTCGTCAGCTGCTGCTGAATGCGCGACGACTTCAGCACCGGGGTTCTACCGGTCGCCGAGCCGGGCCGCTTCGACCCCTTGCTCGTCTCCGCCGCACTGCTCGTGGATGGACTCGTAGCACTGCCGTGTTTCGCCGGACTCGACGTTGCCGTCGCTTTCACGCCCGGCAGCTGCACCAAATTCGCTAACGCGGGTCCGCCTTTATTCATCAACACCTGCTTTTGTTTCTCGACGAGCGCCTTCTGCTGCTCAAGAGGGAGCGTTTTCAGGTACTCCTGGAATTGCCTGAGCTGCTCCTGTGCCGCCGAAGGCAACTGCACTATCTGATTACCGACCCTCAACTTATTTGGAAAGCTTATTACTGGCGAGTATCCCGCCGCTGGGACACTAGATAATTGCGCAGGTGCCTGCAACATAGTTGAGGTTGCAGTCGTTACCGTCACAGATGACGTGGTAGTCGTTACAGGTCTCGTACCAGGCCTAATGGCTATGGGCACTGGTCGCTTGAGAAGATTACTCAGGTGGGAGTTGTGCGACTTAGCAGAAGTGGTTTCAGCTGGCTTCACTGCCGACACAATTGCATTTGTCTTAGGAGAAGAACTTGATTTCACATCCAACATACTAACAGGTGGTTCGACAGCCGCCTGCTGACCCTGTACTTGCGCTATGCCACTCTGTATAGCTGCCTCTCTACCCTGATTGATAATGGTTTGCTGAATGTTGAACAGTTGCTGCAGTCGATGTTTCTGCGTATCCGTGGGATCTTTTATGCTAAGAAGCCCTCTAATATGAACCTGCACTTTCTGTAGAATTTGCTGATTCTGTGGAGTCAATTGAATAGTCTGGATTTTTTGTCCCTGCACTGGTTTCGGTGCCAATTGTGGGACAGATGCTTGTGTGCTCTGAAGGTTGGACTGATGCTGATCGCTGTTCACAATTCGACTAATCTGATCAGTGGCCAGCATCTGCACAGCAGATTGTGTCCCATGCTGAAGCACTACATTTGGCTGTGTACCTGGCTTCCCTTGCACAATCATCTGTGGCTGAGGTGAGCCGAACAGCAGCCTCTGTCCCTGTGACATGATCACTTGCTGTGAGTTCGTACCCTGTGACATCTGCCCCTGTGCCGTCGTGTAGTGTCCGACCGACTGCGGTGCCATCACTGTCTGTGGCGATGACTGCAAGACCATGTACGGCGATGGCTGGGTGACAGGTATATGCCGTGGGCTAGAGTTTGGCTGTATCACGGCATACTGTGGCACTGCAGTGTTGTTTTGTGAAGGAGCACTTATGGACGTGACCATCGTTGGCTGGGCAGAAACAGCAGAATAATATGCACTTGTTGAAATCAACGGTTGTTGCACACTTTCACCAGATTGTTGCGACACAGGAAAATGCTGTACAGTCGACGTTGGCTGACCAGCGGCAGAGTCTATGCCTGGCACTGGCAGACTACTAGTCTGAGATCCCTGAATGGCATTATGTAGCACAACCCCATGTGAATTTTGGGAACCATGCTTATAATTCTGCTTCGGCAGCTTAAGCTGTTCATAAAGCAGTGAAGAATTCGTATTAGCGCTGACTGCCACTTGTTGTAGGTTAGGCACAGTCTGAGTATTACTGGGAGCAGTTTCTTGCATTTTCTTAGCAGCGATTAGGAACTGTCCCATAGTTTGCACATTAGGCACATTTGACTGAGAACTACACACGTGATTCTGCATCACCACCTTACTCCCAGTGTTGGCGATACTGGGCACTTGCTGATGCGGCTGGACAGAGGTCATCGGGAGAACTGGTTGAAGTTTTGACTCGGGCAAAGGTCCAGCACCCACAGAAATATTTGGTAAAACTAATTTACCTTGGTTCTGAATAAGCTGAGATATAGGCAGGTTCAAAAATACCTGCTGCCCATTGATCTGTGCACGCACTAACACAGTCTGTTGCTGCATCACTGCAGGTGGTGTAGCATTACTTTGATTTTGCACCATTATGTTCTGCAAGGACTGCATGCGAACTAACTCCACACTCTGAGATCCTGGAGCAACAGGTCTGACGGCCTGCTGTAATGTCACCGCATTACCAGTCGGTTTCACAAAACTGCTTGCACCGGCGACAGCATTTTGTGCTTGTATGTGAAGGATTTGATTACCGTTGTACATCTGCTGTGTTGAGTTCACAGGTAGAAACTTCACGTCTTGGCTGCCACCGACGCTTATGGTCTGTACCTGGGTCGGTGCCTGACTCTGAATCACAATTCTGTTTGCATTTACTGCCGACGGCTGCGCATAAGCACCTAGACCAGACTCTGTACCATGCAGCACATTTTGCTGCTGATCAACGACAACATGCGGCTGCCCAGGTAAGAGGTTCTGAATGTGTTGATTCGACTTGAGCATCAGGTGGTGGGGCAAGTGATTGGCAGAACCTCCTTGCACAGCTGTTGTTGGTGCAAACTGCGCAGGTGACGTCGATTGAGTCACCTGGAGAAGCAGTTGTGCCCCTCCAGCTCCTTTCTGACCCAGTCTATTCTCCACAGCATGTAGATTCTGCTGCTGCCCATTGCTCCCATCGTACACTGCAGATATAATCTGCTGCTGTGTTACACTGCCCCCTACACGGTCACTGGTAAGAAAATCATCTAGAGCTGCTGGATCATTGATCACATCCAGCAGACACTTCCCTTCTTCCATTTTCAGCTCTCGTTTTAGCTAGCATAGAGAGTGGTTCCGTCATCATTGTGCCATCCTATGACACAGGTAAATTAGTGGAAGTTTATGTATTTATCTGTTACGATAACCAGATACATGTGACTTGCTAGCAGTCGTGATCTTACATCTTGCTTGAAGGATACCCTGTGAAATAAACAGAACAGTCAAACAATAAAACAGATTTCAAGATCAGATAAAATCGAATGCGGTGGCATGATAGCGTAGAAAATGCTTGCAATATGTGCGAAGCTAAAATACTAACTTAATCCTTTTTTACCCCACTACTTTGCTCTAACATTAAAGCGATGTTTTTACCAACCATTTTCATATTTTCTCAACAGTTCTGATACTTTCTGGTACTTCTTGTATAACACCAAATGTATAAAGTAAGGCTAACATGTCATAGAACACTCGCACAACATTTTGCCACCAATATGTGATCCAACAATCAGCATTTCAAACTAGATTCTTTACATATGCCAACAAACCTAGCGTGTGATTTTTGCTCTCGCGAGACCAGAACGCTGTCTCTCCACTAGGTTAGTTTCCTTTGTATACATTTCGGGATAGGTAAGAGAGAAGGAAATTAAGTTTGTTGGAGGTAAACAAGTGACAAAGTTTATAAGGGAGGCTGTGGCACAGTGTGTGTGGGATGTAACACACTACTACCTAGGTCAGGGATAGTTTTAGGGTTTGCGGTAAAAACGCTCAATCAAGGGAAACAGTCGGAATATATGACTTATAAGTTTTAATTAATATTTCAAAAAGATATTCACATAAATATGTAACATTCCTACCAAGATTCAAGACAAATGGCAATATTTAGTCTGAAATGCGTATGCGGTATGGTGCACAAAGTATTGACATTGTCTGCGTGTGATCTGCCCTCATGGGTAGGTATAAATTACTATAATCAACAATAATATGATCAATATGTCGCATCGCTAACTCTGCATGCAATTGTATAACATTCATGGAATCACACTGTTATGTTTCAAGTTATACAAAATAAACATGACAGTAGGAAAACGATTGCGAGTTTACCGTTCAGCGGTTCCACACTGTAGGCATTTTCAGAACCATCGTGTGAGAAGATATCCTTATAATCGGCCAACATTTTCATGTTTGCTAGCGTCTATGGAAATTGCGATTAATTACAGTTAGACTTTGGATAACCGAAGTGCTAGAACACAATGATTTTGAACCAAACGCAAAACCAAACCTGGAAATATATTCAAGATTTATCAAACAATATGGCGACTTTTTTTGAAACGTGCTGCCACCTACACTGAGGTACGGCAATGACAACGGCGACCTGTTTGTGACCCCTTAGATCAAGGCCCGTAGCCAAGGATTTCTGGTTACGCGTATACTATAAAAAGAAATGCATATGCATGTCAAGTTAAAATTAGACATGCTGTGTGTTTTTTTGTATTTCCATTACGCCTAGTACGGAGTAATGCTGACTCAAATCGCAATTTTCCAATTAACCGACCTAGCTCTACTTGTAGTTGTAGCAGAGTTGTAGTAACTTCAACTAACTTGTAGTTGTAGTTGTACCAGAGCAATCAACTTATTTATTGATTTATATGCTCTGCTTGTACTCTGTAAAATAACAACACGCGAATAATTCATACCGAATAATACCGAATAATTCATAATTCTCCGACCTCGAAATTAACCACCCCCGAAATAATTGTCCGTCAAGTCTGAAAGGTCCGCCAACTTTCTGAGCGGAATATTTATCTTTGACGGCGGCCGGGATTGGCTGATACCAAGCATGGCCTCAATAGTAACTGGCGCGATTTTTAGTTTTAGTTTTAGTTTTGTTTTGTTGAACCGACACCGTTCGTGGAAATTTATATAATATCAACATTGAATTCATTCAGTGCAATGGAAAGTGGCTGGCAAGCAACTAGAAAAGCACTATTGCGTCTTGGAGAGTTGCTTTTGTGTGAAATATGGTAAAGTTTCCATGTGTCTGAAGTTTTTGGTGATGTTGATTGTTGTTATTAATAATATTAATAATATTATGTTAACTTGTAATGTTAGTTGCCTTTTAGGCAGTGGCTACGGGTACGGTAGCTGTATCTTAAAGTTAATGTCTCGAGGCTACGGGTACGTAGCGGGAGGGTTTTTTTTTTCGCTATGTCCAAGTCATAAGAAGAGAAAATAGCATAAGCTCTAGTCAAGTTAACGAGCGCTGCCATGGTCTGATAAATCAACGTGCCTCAGAAACTCCATGTTTTATATGGTGGCATTCCACTGCATTGTCCACCGATAAGTGTTTAAACCACTAACCCTAATGCCTAACGCTAAGCCTAGGAACACCACCTGTGCGATTTCTTACGGCTGGCCGCTTGCGATCTATACAATACCGGTGCCGGGTCGCGCGCGATGTGTCCCGGTCTTCCCGGCAGCGCGTATGTTTCGCGCGCGATCCCATACGACCGGCGCATCGCTTGCATTCAACATGTTGAATATTCCCGCCCGGTTTCCATCGCTTGCGCACAGCGCATGCGGCGTTGCATGCGCTTGCACCCAAAAAAGCCGTGCCCAACACAATGAACAATCGTGTTCGAACCAGCGATTGTTTTAGCAGCCAAGCAAGGTAGGCAACGAAGCTAGGAAGCCGTTAGAGTGGTTTGCACCGGACAGGATGTGTCGCAGCTGTACCGCAACTCGTACGGCGTTCTAAAATCATGTGAGCGAACGATGACTACGCTGACGGGCCGGGCAGCGTACAGAATCGCTAGTGTGTCCTAGGCTTTAACCTAAACCCTATTTTTAAAAATATATTAAAAATTAATTTTTAATGTTGTAAAAATTTAATTGTTGTTATTAAATGTTGTAAATACAATCAGTAAATATTTGCGTTATGATTGGAAAAAGAATGTTTAAACAAGATAAAGATTAGAAAAATACAGAAACAGGAAAATAATTAGAAAAGGAGTATGGGAGTTGCGATCCTTTCGACTGCCGTGTTCATATAAACTTGGACGCCCGCGATGGTACGTGCTAAGGCGTAATCGAGTATATTAGATAACTAGAATTTTTGGATGTGCTATGGTATATTACGACATTGTGACGTCGTTGAGCCGACAAAACAAGTTCAACCAAATAGCAGCGCTCATTTAGAAGCCCTATGTTCTTTGATTTTCAGCTAGGAAAAAAAATCACGCGGACGGGAAGCCATTCGCTGTCATACTTAACGATGTACCAAAGATCGCTGGCGGTGGCGCCAGACTTCGGTAAATAACGCCTTGGAAATCGTAAATCACGGATTTGAGAAGTTTAGATGAGCTAGAACCCTAATGCCCAGGGTTCTCCCACACGTTGCGCCAACGGGGCGCGCGCGCCCCGTTTGGGAAAACTCCCCCCTGTTGGTTGTGCAATCCGGTGCGCCACCGATTAAATACCCTCCGGCCCCGATTAAATTCCACCAGCAATAAAAGTTTGCCAGCGAGGGAATAGCGATAGTCAAAATTCTCCATCGACCAGAACACCGCAGTCACGTGTATTTTTTACCGTGTCCACGCATGCACTGCAGACAATACACAATACAAACAGCTGCAACCTGTTCCCACACGCAACATCTAACCTGTACACCGATGCTTCTGGGCGTATCTTATCATAACACGAGAACCCAGAAATGACGTCCTCTATGGCGTGTGGTTGTACCGATTTTTAGCGCATTAATATGGGTGGTACCGGGCTAATAAAAACACGCCCACCCGGACCCCCCCCACCCCTCACCGCTTCCCCTCCTCCTCCACCCTGTTTGAAATTTCATCCTGGGATGAAACCCTGTAACGCCTAACCATAACCATAACCCAAACCTAGTGGTTGTGGTGGGTTTTTCGTTTTGGTTTGTATTGGCTGGTTCTTTTGCGTGTGTGGCTATCCTATATAGGATTGACCGCTAACCCTAAACCTAAACTCCCCAAAAAGGGCTTCAACGACCGACGGCTACCAGTACCGTCCAGGCGCCACTGCGTACTTTTTACTTGCGGGAACGAAGTAATCGCGTCCCTTCTCAAAAAATTCATCAGTAGTCCGGTATCCTACATTACGATATTACATTTACATGGCCCGCTTTTTTCAATTATTTGAAGAACTACGCAAGCATTGAAAAATTTAATATATTATAAATTGAGCCTACCATTGCGGAAAGACGTGAGATTGCTCGCTAGCTAATAGACTAGAGTAATAACTAATATTTATTGATCAAGTGAATCGCAGTACAAATCGTGATGAATTTTATATGCATACAGGGTTCTCTCCTACGTGCGGCAAGTGACAGGGGCGCAGGCCCCGTTTGGAAAACTCCCCCCTGTTTTCAAATCGGTCCGCGCCCGTTTTAAAAATACCCTCCGCGCGCCGATTAAATTCCACCACAATAAAAGTTTGCGCAGAGCGGGAATGCGAGCGCAAGTAATTCCCATTCGCCAGGGACAACCAGCGTGGTATATTTTTACTTGCACTTGCAGAACAATACGACAAGGTTAGCAAACAGCTAAGCGCTGTCCCAGCTGTGCTCCACACATCAACACCGCTAAAAACCTGAACACTCGAGCTCGTGCTTACTATATATACATAGAACCTCGCAAAATACCCGTCTATGGTGTGGTGCGATTTTACGAATTAATAGTGGTGACGGTAAAAAAAAACACCCCGCTGGAACCCCGCTAAGTTTTTCACACCCTCCCCCTCCCCCCTCGCCCTTCTCCGCTCCCCTCCCCCTGTTTTGAATTTCCATCCTGGGAGAAAACCGCTGATAGATAAATGTCATGCGTAATTGCCATTGGTAAGTAAAAAGGTGGGCATGCTGTGGGAAAATTCAAGAACTGTGCTGTTTTGTACCGCCCTAAACAGACATCGTGATCATCATCATCATTAGTCAGCACCCTAACCTGATCCGGAGATTTATAGCC